AAAAAAATAAATTTTATTTAATTTTTAAAAACTTCCGCAGAAATATGAGTTGGTTATACAAATATTTATTTATTTTCATGTAAAATTTTCATCAAGGTAAGTTTAATAGAATCTGCAGCTGAGTCTGTACTGGAGGTGACATAAAGATTTACAGCGAGATGAGGGTGACAAGTCTGGATTACCATTGGGTAAAGCCAAAACCAAGGAACCTTAGTTTTCTTCCTACACCATTTGAAAGTTGCCACAGCAGCTAACTCCAGCCCTAGTCTCACAAGCTTTGTGCAACCCAAATCCAAACCCATTAGAGAATACTGATGGCAGGAGAAAGCATTGAGTCAAAGCCCAAGCAGACACTCTGGAGTCACCCAGCAGTGTCCCTCACCAAAGGTGAGAAACTTTATAATAACTCAAAACAACTAGATGCAGTTGCTTTTTCGTTTTCAAAAAAGCCTTATTAAATTTGGCAGAATAATTCTTTCGGCACTAGTTTGAGGCAGGGAAGGAAGAAACTGGTCTCACTTTACACAAGTAAAAGCCAGCAAAAGACCATGGCAGGGTCATTGCTAGAAACATTAGAAAATATCATCTCAGGGGTTTTGAGACAGGTGTTTTCAGTTCCCTCCCAATAAAACAGACTAAGCAGGAGGAGCATTATGCCACTACTCACCCCGTATCACCTGTGTGTTTGTGGGTAAAAGCCAGGATATCTGCAGCTCTGCCAGTGCCCTCATAGACCACCACGGGGACAGCTGGGCTGGCCCTCACGTACTCCCACACCATTAGGATCACATTGGGGCCTCCTTCAACCACCAACCCAACTACAGGTACACCTTGGCCCATTCCTGTTCCAAAACACACCTAAACCAGTTACAAACAGGTCTCAGTCACACAAAAAAAGAACAGCTGGTAAATAAACACTCATTAAGGAGTCTCATAAAATGGCTCAATGGAGAGGAAATCATGACTTCACCATCTCTAATTTTACTTTCACAGAACCCCTGCAACCAAATAAAAAAGACCATGAAAACCTCCTGATAAAATTGTAACCAGCCCTAGGATTGGAAAGAAGAAACATCTTTCAGAATAACCCTCTGCCCTTTACAATAGCTCTTACACTCAAGGACACTGACAACATGTCATCAATATTCATTCGCTTACCATACAAAAGTAACCAGGTAATTCTTTACAAACTTTCTTAAGTGTTACAGCAGGCAGGCTGGTTTTTTTAACAATCGGAAATAAATTTCAAATAAGATCCTATAGAAATGGAAAAACAACAGGAAGTCTCAAAACTTTCGCAAAAAGTATTGCAAAAACTCATAGTAAGAAAAGATATAAGAGGCTGAGTAAGAAGCTCTAAATACGAACACATAAAAAAATTAGTAAATTTCTAAATTTGTAAATACTATAATATGAGCAGATAAAGGAAACAAGGATACAACATCGTAACTCTGCTAACATCTTTTTAACTAACCTCAAGGTTTAATCCACTAGGTAAGAATGAACTTCCACAAATAATTTATACAATCTAGTGCATAAAAAGGTTACTTGTCTACGTAATAAATATTTCAGTCATGATTTCTATAACAGTAATCAGTTACTGTATAGGCAAACAATGGAAGTTACATAATCTGACAAACACACATTGGCTGAAGGTATTCCTTTCGCAACCAGTCTTTGTTTCTGTACACAAGGAGGTCACAGGTTTGTAATATAGAAGAGTGATGAAGATAAAAGTAGTGAAGAGGGGAAGAAGGATTCAAATTCCACTGAATGTGACAATTTTTCCACCTAGCAAAATGCTGGGAAACAATCTAGTGGTGATATAGAGATCACACAAAAGTTCAAAGTGAGCAAATGCTGAATACCTAATAAATAATCTGACTCATTTAGATGTCTCTACAACTGAGAAACCAAAATGCAAGTTAGCCCAAATGCATAATGCTTTATAACAAAGCTGTCCATCTAATTTTTCTGATATTCAGAGTTAAAGACACGTGCCATTAATAACTTTCAACCTCCATGATATGTGTGGCAAATGAGGATGCACAACATGTAACAGGAAATGCCATGTCCACAACTTTTAGGATAGGTCTTTCTCTCGTGAAGCTGACCACAGCAGTACTCACTTGTATGTATTTTTTGAAGTGATATGTACTTCTCCAAATTCCTTCTGAGTATCATTTCATTACCATACTTGCCTACTGTCCCATCATCTGCCATTAGAAAATGAGAATGCATGCTGTTGAGGGTACTTAGCTTGCTGAGCGGATTACCAAGAGTCTGGTACAGGCAAACTACCTAAGAAAACCAAAATAAAAAGATCTTCAGAGAAACCAACAAAATATCATCATTTATGTTGCCTCACTTTATGTATTTCTTCATCAAATTGTGATCTTCTGAAAGCCTCCATCATGCTTTTTGCTGCTTTACTCAAACATGGGTTTTCATCTGATTCTTAACTGCAACCAAACCACAACTAATACCACAGAAAGCATTTCTGATTAGGCTTGCAGTCTTTAGGCAGAGTCACTGCCTGCCTTTCTTTGCAAGAGTGGAAACACAATGGCATATTTTTCCTGGGTGTGTTCCCATTAAAAATATATGAGCCATCATTAATCAGGAACGATTTCACCTTACTTGTCAAGTATTTTTAGACAGTTAAGTAGACTGTGCCCTCACATTGGCACTCATATAAAGTTCTAGTTTATGAATAAAAATCATACATACTAATAGCCTATTTGTGCATACCATTAACCTGATTGCTCATCTTGAATCACATGGATATAGAAATACAGCATTTGCAGCTGCAAAAGAATTGCCTAATTAATTACAAAATATTCAAAAAGGAATGGCAATTTCCTGTAAGAAGAGAAATATTTTAAAACTAGTCATTTACATTTGAAAAGCAAAATACGGTGCCTCAACATGCCACAGAATTCTACTGCTGAGTAAAACCTAAGCCTCTGTGCCAGAGAAAAAATATCAAAACAATGAAACAAAACAAGCAGAAAATAAAGTATGCAAGAAAGCTATAACATCCCCTGAACATGAAGTCTTTTACCCTTAGAATGTGTCCAACTCACATCTTTTCCAATGAGATCCCTCTGGTTCTCAATGATACCCCATGGAGGAATGCCAACAGCACAGATTTTTCTCAGGTGTGGTGAGGCACGGCCTTTCAGCGCATCCCCCACATGCCTGGACACTCCTAGACAGATAATTAAATAATAATTTTTCTTCTAAATTTGGAGACCTGCTCCAGGATAACAATGAAAGGGTTTCCCATCATTTAATTTATTCTATGGTTACGTTTTAACCAGAAACAAATGATCCCACTCCACTTGTATATTTGACATACACTGCAGGAATTGTAAGGCTCAGACATAATGCACCAATACTTCAAACTCAACACATATTTGTAATTAATAATACTCATATATGTTGCTAATGGTACTTTCTGCCTCCATAAAAACTTTATTATTTCCATAAATGCACAAAACAGTTCCCCTGTAAGATTATGAGACTGAATAAAAGGTCAAGAAGTAAAAATTCTTCAATTCTGTGGCTCAGTGACCACCTCAGTTTTTGAGAGCAGTCTACAGGGCGTTTCAGATACTAATAGACTGATTAATGGACTATAATAATTCAAAATTTCTTAATTACAAAACACAAGTTAAATTTAGATTTGAAAACTATTTCAAAAAACAGCGATCACAGTCCCCAGAACCTAAATATTTCATTAAGCAGATAAAATTACTGCAGATAACTTCTGGTTATCTACTATCAGCATTTCTTATCATATGCAGAATACTCTGCTCTTTAATAAAAAGGAAATATTAGAAATATTTAGAATGCCTGTCAACAGCAGAGGAATGTCATGTTACTCTTCGAATTATGCACTGTTCCTTTAAAAAAAAAAATAAAAAGCTTAATTTTGTGTTAGAATATCACAAATTATCAAACGATTTAATTATATTCACCATAAATGTATATGCTGATATGCAGAGAAAGAACACCAGAGGAAGACTGAAACAAAGAAAAATAATTACACTACCGCTGTTGATGCCTTCTGTAAATATCCATGCTCCCGTAGTCTCAGCAGCCTTCACCAATCCTTTGCTGAAAACCTGCTTGACCTTTGAGGGAAGCTTGAAATTTTGAATACCTCCATGAACTGAGATCACTAGCTTTGGCAACTCCATCTGCCATTCTTTAACCATCAGGTGCAACAGCTGATCCAAATTGCTATCATAAGACAATCTAATATACTGGAAGAAATAATAATGGCTAAAATAAACATCCTTTACTTACTCCATGAGAAGAAATCACAAAATCTTACAAATTCTCAGCATTAACATCTTAAAGATTTTATACAGGATTAGAACTTTCATAATATTGCTAACACTATAGCACAAAAATACATCAGTAAGCAATACAGACAGCAAGACAGACTATGCTTAATCGCTGTGAAGTTCAACATAAAAATATCATACACACACTCTAACCTGACTTACTTTTAGGTTGCCCTGCTCTCTTAAGACAAACAGTCTCATATTAACCCAAAAGCACTTTTTAAATCTTTCTTATGCTGAAATTATAAAAAGAAGTCGGACGTATAAACCCAGCATCTGTTACCTTGGCATGGTAAGTGTGATCTCCATCTTGAAAACTGATCGTACCAAATGCATCCGTTGGACTCGTCTTTGTGTGTTCTTGCACAGACCATTCCCCATCATCTCTCTGGGGGGCAGCCTGATAAACAGGCCAGCTAAAATCTACTCCTGAGTGATCTCCAATCAGCCGTCCACAGCAACACCTCACATCAAAAACAAATAAATGGTTTTATATCACACTTGCATGCAACTCTGGAATCTTCATCAGAATAGCCCAAATAGTTTTTATACAAAGAAGGATATTCTAGCCTGCTGACATGGAATATAATAAAAATTAACTCATCCGAAAATATCTTCACAATGGCAAAATGATATTGATTTAAATAATAAATATGTTTTGTTGGATACAGGGTTTGTTCTCTCCCTGAGGAACACTAATAACAGTTGAGGTGTTGGACCAGATGATCTTCAAGGTCCCTTCCAACCCAAACCTTGTGGTGATTTTGTGTGACTCTGAAACAGTTTCAGGGTCCCATACAGCCATTCTGACCTGAGTAAGGCAGCTCAGACTTAACCGTCTCTTATGTGAAATTTCAGAGAAGTATCTTAGGACACCGAGGTTTGCTACAGTTATTACCACAGGTTATTCTAGGTATTGAAAAAAGATCTAGGAGTTACCACCATTAATCAGGAGGAGGGGAGCTATCCTGTCTAGAGAGAACTTCCAGGTGACCTTTATACTAACCCTTGGATGCCAGCAAAGTGAATATACAAAATAAATGGACTGAAGTGCACTGTTAAGGGAAACTTAGCAGAAGTTTAGTTAGCATTAAAGATTTGCAACTGGATGAATAATCCAGATTCCAAATTCAATCAGTACTGCTGTCATACAGCTTTCAACAGGCTCCAGTCTCTTCTACATGATTAACTTCAATGTAATATACAGTGACATCTGACAGTCCAGGTTTCCTTTAAACATTTCAGAAGTTAATGTACCCTGGGAAATGGAGATAAATTCTTCCCTTTTAGTCTTTTAAGATACCAAACAGCCTTCAACAACCCAAACTCAACAACTGCCTTAGGACTCCGATGTATTACTTGTGTATCTAGGGGCAGGTTAGATGTAACATTCAGAGGTACATTCAGAAAGAGAGAGAGTTTTCTGTGGAGATGAGTAAGACTAACTGGTGAAAGAGAAATATATTAAAAATAACAAACTAACAAACAAAAACAAACCCCAAAACAACCCTAAGCAAACTAAGGAAGTGAACCACTTTAGAAAGGCACTTTTTGATACTCAGAAACCAGAAAATTACGTTTGCACTCTGATTTTTCAACACATGCAAATTACATTTGATTGATTCAATGCTCTGCAAAAGCAGATTGGAGAAGGAAGCCTCCTACATTCTTGGGGAGTTAATAACTCAATTAAACAATCTTATTCAGTGGAGAATTAAAGAGTTGTAGAAGCCTAGTACTGCAGAAAAGACTTGAGCTCTGTTGTCACATGTACGATGATGGTTAGCTGCAAGTCAAAAGGCAATAGGGTCTACTGAAAACACACAAAATTTTGTCAAACTAATTCAATGGGGACTAGCTAATCTAGGCCACCTACTCCTTTTCCCTAGCTGAGACAAATAGTAGGATATCGCAGAAATCTAGGGACTTCCCAGAAAGAAGTCAGGCATAAGCTCACAACTGAATCCTGGAAACATGAAGAGGAAATAATCTAGCTGGGTGCGGGAAGCCTCACAGAGGGGTTTTTATTGCCAAATTACTCTAACCAGAGTTAGTGTGTGACTCCACAACCATTTGCACTGTGGCGGTGTGTCCTGGGTCTGGTTAGGATGGAGTTAATTGTTCACAGGGAACTGGGAGTGGAGCAGCCGAGGCAGCTTACCCAAAAGGGGCGGAAGCAGGTATTCCATACCATGTGGCGTCAGTATTTGCTCAGTATTTAAAAACAGGGAAGTTCCAGAAAGGGGGTGGGTACCAGGTACCGCGGTTCGGGAGCAGGCTGGGGGTCAGGTGGCGAGCCGTTTGGTTCCCTCTATCACTTGTGCTGCATATTCTTTCATTAGTAGTGTTGGTGTTATTATTGAGTGTTGTTTCCCTCTTCCCTTACCATCCGAGTAAACTGCTCCTGTCTCTCCCTGGGTTTATATTTTCTCCTCCCCATCCCACTGGAGGGGATGGGGGGTGAGAGAGCCGTTGTAGTTAAACCACCACATGGTGGCAGAAAAAAACACAGGGATTACCAGACAGGGCACGGGAGCTGCTGAAATAAACTCCTGATCTAGGAACCTCATTTTGATGACCCCAAAAGAAAAACCCACTGTAATTTTGCCTCCTCATAGGAAAACCAAGACAAGCAGGTCAAGGCTTACCAGCGAAATAAAAAGCATCCAAGCTGGAACTTGGAGAATAAGCCAGTCACACCAAGTTACTTAAAAATAATCAATTAAATTGATCAATACAGATGGGAGGTCATTGCTGAGACTGTGCTGTCAAATGATGTGTAGACTCAGAATCCAAGAGTCACTACAGAAACATATCTATACTAAAAGTGTTTCAGAGCAATGTAGCTACACAGCAGATGATAGCATAAGGGAAGCAGATCTGGATAAAATCTACCCACAAAGAGCCCAAAGCCAATGACTGTAATTGTTTAAGACTTGCCCTGCATACCCCAAAGGAAGGACCAGAAGAAAGAGGTAGTTTTGATCTTATTATTGGTCTTCAGAGGACAAATTTCTCCACAGCTTAGCTATTAGCCTCCATGCTCCAGGTTTTTTTTTTTGTTTGTTTGTTTTTTTCTGCTTGCTTTTTGGGGTGACTCCAGGATAAGAGACAGCAAATGTCAGGAAAAAAAAAATGATCTTTAGATGAAAGATGAGAAAAAAACATAGACACTGTATTGTTCTTGAGTCCTGAAAATACCTTGTGGTCACTCTACTGTTCCTAGAGTGGTGTCACAATAACAAGACCTATCACCCAGGAGTCATTCTCAAAGATAGGGAACCAACAGCAGTCCCAACTAAATACCACATTCACATTACTCACTTAGATACCACATTACACCATGTGACTCAGCAAGTACCAGTGCTTGGAAGAACAACAATGAAAATCAATCAGGATCATCAACAATGGATTAACATTTATAAAATCTGAATTAATTTCAGCCCATCATCAAAACATGAGCACAGAATGACTACCTCATTTGTTACTATTCCGTACAGAGTCACATCAGCAGCCCCTCCTAGAGCCAGAGAGACTTTTCCCCAGGAGGGCAGCCCAGCAGTGGAGCCAGGGCCTGGAGAGGGAGCACCATCTCCATCCTTGGGGATTTCACACTCTGATTTTGTGAAGCCCTGAGCAGCCCTGTCTGACCTCCCAGCTGAGCCTGCTCTGGGCAAGGGCTGGGACTGGAGACCTCCGCAGGTCCCTGCTGGCCTGAGTTATCCTGTGATCCTATTAATATATCATATCCTTCGAATCAAAGTGTCTTTGCAATGACTTTACCTTCTTTGCCTCAAAGGCTCACTAGGCTCCTAGTGAAAGAGGGAACAATGTCAGTTAACACAAAAGCAGAGCCCTGGAAAAGTCACACTTTAAGCAACAAGGGGAAACCTGGAGGGTTGTAATTAAGGTAAAGGCAACTGCAGTAGGCCAGACTACAAAATCAGGTGCCCTAGCAGGCAGGATTTTAGAGACTGTGTCCAAAAATATGCCTAAAAGGTTAGATATAAAGACAATTTCTGAGAAAATCTCAGATGTGTAAGGATGCAGTAGTTCGGCATCACATTCCTGAATATTCACGCACTGTCCAAAAATATGCCTAAAAGGTTAGATATAGAGACAATTTCTGAGAAAATCTCAGATGTGTAAGGATGCAGAAGTTCAGCATCACATTCCTGAATATTCATGCAGTGAGATTCATCTAGGTGCTGCCTGGGACGTGATTGTGAGCACTGCCCTGAAGAGTACATAAGGGCCATTTCAACACACCAGTGAAGCATGGACAAAGGTGCCAGTAAGTTACTCAAATCTTATTAGCAAATACTAAACGGAGTTACTCTACTTAGTACTAGCAAATAGTTGCATAACCCACTCATAAACTTTTTGCAAACCTTGGAAGATCTCTGCAAGTAATGAATCACTAATAGATTTCATTTGCCTACACTATTAGGTCAAATTATAGTAGGCATCAAGTACACTCACACTCCTTTTGGAATGTTGTGGAAAATTACAGATCTCTGGAGCCCAAAAATCTGTTTCATTGTTCATCTAATAAATACAATATAACCAGTTGTAACACTCACATGAAAATTATTTCCCCTGGTAGTAACAGAAAAAATATCCTAGAACAAAGCTATACAAGATATACAAGATGTACAAGAAGACAAGAGCAGTTAACATTTAGGAAAATGTACCTGCAAGATAATGGCTGACCAAATGTACATCAGACACACACACATTTTGCATATATACACAGACCAAAAAATAGGTTTCACATTAATTTAAACAGCATGAAAATGCTCAACAAAAAGTGAAAGAAACAACTACAAGATTAAAAAAAAACCCACAAAGGTACAGGAGGTCTTTACAAAGAAAGGTGAAAGAAAAAAACTAACCCACCCTGTGGGGTGCACAATTCCAGTTTCTCTTAGTGCTTCTCCCACTGTAGTATTCCCATTCACACAGCTAAGCAGTCTTTGATTAGGAGGCTGCTTTGGTGGAAACCTGATCTTGGTTTGGTTTTCCACCTCCTCCAGATTAATTTTCATACCAGTAAGCTTCCATGACCAAATAACAACATGGTCACTCTGCGGGGGAAAGGGGGAGGACTGTAGAACTGCTGTAGTCTTGATTTAGATGGGATTAAACCACTGTATTTTTAAAGAACAAATTACTAAACCAAACTAACTCCAGCTTAGATACCCACCTGGGTACCTCAAGGTTAGCAGGAAGCATTAAAATCTTCCCCACATTTGTACTTCAAGAACACCTGCAAAAATCTTTGAATCTCTATTCTTTGCTCTAAAGCAAAATAAACACGTGACCATTCCTTCAGAGGGAGTTGTCTCTTTCTGAACACATGCTGCACAGATGATTTGCTTCACTTACAAAGCCAACACCGCTCTGTATACTGGTCCTTAACAGAGATCTGATTTCAAGGAGTAACTTACTTGGTTTTTGGAAAATGTGACTCCTGTTTCACATAAATCTTAGAAGCAAAATAAAATGTGAAACACAAAGATAAAGCAAATAATCATGCTTGTGCAGGTGACAGGACTAGTTAGCACCAGCTTTCTAGTTGTTAGTTATCAGAAACCCATTGTTTTCTGTTGCTTCAGCCTTCAAGAGGCCTTTAACACAAAACAAATGTCCAGGAAAGTTAACATTTTTGTTCCAACAATTGATAATTTATTATCATAAACATAAAGTATTGAAAACTGTTTGGGAACACCACCTGAACAACAAATGTTGGACTGAAAACAACTAATTAGTACAAGCCACAAAACTCTAACTCTCTGAAAAACCCACACACAAGTTAAAAGCACCAAGTGATGTAATCTTTGTTGCTTGCCTTCCCAAAAGCAGGGACTCAGAATGCCCCCTGCAGAGAAGATGAAAACATCTTCAGAAAACCTGTCATCAGGAATGTTTCTATTACCCTCTTTCTTCTCCCTTTAATTTGTTCTTTCTCTTTCCATAATTCTTACTGTTCTTCATTGCTTTTGTCTCTCTCTCTCTCCTTCATATTATCCAGGATATGGCTGGAATTGTTTCCCATTTAAAGGCACACTTCTGCCTTTCACTCCTCAGAAGATTAAGACAAATTCATTCACACAAAGTATTTGGATAAAATCTTCTATTGCAAATAAATTAAAGGTTATCATACAATTTATTTTACCCAGATTTATACTAAACATTTTCCAGCACACAGCTAGAAATGCTGCTCTGAAAATATAAGAGGAAGGTTATTTTTGTTATTACATCCTTTACTGGGAATGCCCATCACTAACATCAGGTCATTATAAAAATCATAGATATGTATTTATGAACTCCTACCTGATTAAATTCTGGCACACCTGGCATCCTGCAGGACACCTGAGACAAAAGATGGATAATTATATATTCTTGTATAAAAGAAAAATCTCTAATGGTATTCATAAAATATAAATTCACCTGTGAAAAAATTCTCATCAACAACATTAAAGGCTGTATTCTGCTGCACTCACCCCTGGAAGATGCAGTGGGTAACTTCAGTGACTTGTTTGGCATTTTACATCTCAGACTGTATGTCAAAATTCTGCATTTCATGGAGTTATCTATCTAATCTACACTACCCATGTGTTCAAAACAGCATGATCAAAATTGTTGGTGGTAAATAGCTCCTTTTCAAACTGGCAACCTGTCACAGGTGAGGTCCCCCAGCAATTGATATTGGGCTCAACACTGTTTAATATCTTCTTAAGTGATCTGGACGATGGGATCATGTGTACCCTGATGAAGTTTGCTGATCATACCAAACTGAGTGAGGAAGTGGACAATCCAGAAGGGAGAGTCACCCTGCATGAAGACCTGGATAGGCTGGAAGAGTGGGCTAACAAGAAACTTCTGAAGTTCAACAAGGACAAGTGTAAAGTCTTGCACCTGGAAAAACATAATCTGGGAGTGCAGCACAGGTTGGGATCTCCCTGGCTGGGGACCAGCTCTGTGGAAAGGGACCTGGGTGTCCAGGTGGACAACAAGTTCAATATGAGTGAACAGTGTGCTGCTGTGGCAAAGAAAGCCAACAGGATGCTGGGTTGCATCAACAAGGGCATCACCAGCAGAGATACAGAAGTCATTATCCCACTCTACTCTGCGCTTGTCAGGCCACACCTGGAACACTGTGTACAGTTTTGGTCCCTGTTGTGCAAAAAAGATGTGGACAGGCTGGAGAGGGTCCAGAGAAGGGCCACAAAGATGATCAAAGGACTGGGAAGCCTGGCACATGAGGGAAGGCTGAGAGAACTGGATTTGTTCAGCCTTGAGAAAAGAAGGCTGAAGGGACACCTTATCACTGTGTTGCAGTACTTAAAGGGCAGCTACAAAAAAGATGAAGACTCCCTTTTTCACAAGGAGTCATATGGAAAAGACGAGAGGTAATGAGTACAAGTTACTCCTGGAGAGGTTCCAATTGGCCACAACAGGAAAATTTTTCACAATGAAAACAATCAGCCACTGGAATAATCTCCCCAGGGAAGTGGTGGATTCCCCAACATTGGACACTTTTAAGATTCAAAAAGGTTGGACCAGATGATCTTTGAAATCTTTTCCAACCTGGTATTCTGTGATTCTATGAAAATTACAAGTTTACATCTTCAGAATGTGATTTCACCAAGTTTATTTAGGCAACACCATCCACTAGATAGGCAATCTGGAATGCCAAATTACGTTTGCTTTCTCAGGTCTTAAAACACTGGTTGAGAATTTGATCTTTTCCTTACTCTTCACACACTCTATGCCAGCCTGAGCAGAAACCTCTGTCTCAGAAGACTGATCAGCAGCAGGCATTATTCTGAAGAAGGGAGAAAATGGTACAGCTGTAACTCCATGTAAGTCAGTCTCTCAATTGGATGCTATACCACAGTTTTCTTATTGGACTGCGAGCAAACATATCTAAGAAGCCTAAGAAGGTCAATTGTTGCCAATTTCTAATTCAAACAAATGGCCTAATTTAAAAAATATTGGTGACAGTACCTATGAAAATCCATAAATGCCAGCAATCACCAACTGGGGCATTGTAAAACTGCAAAGAACTTCATCCACGCTACACACAAAGCCCATAAAAAATTATTCTGATTCTATCTAAATGTAACAGAAAGAAAGTGAACTTCATTGTTTTACCTGTGAGGATCTTTTGAACTGGGAATGATATGTGCACATTCTCTTTTACTGAAGACTTCTTCAATCCAAGATTTGGTGGACTGAAAAGAAATTTCAAATGTAATTGTATTCCTGAACTTAAGAACATAATGTCAAAAATTGCACTATAGCATCTATAAGGCTGTTTATGCATAACATAACCCTGAATGACTCCCATCACGACATTAGCTGAAATCAAACACTATAAACTGAAGCTACAACTTTGAACACTCTTAGACCTTCTCCCCCAAGCTTTACACAGCTCCACAGAAAAAGCAACATTAAAATTTATGCCCACTCCTCATTAACATAAAAATTATTTAGAGGATCTGTCAAACACATGTACAAAAGAGGACATGGTAAGAATGAATCAGAACTGCCTAAAGGACTGCACTTTTCTGTGCAAATGACAATCTTACTAAAGCTGTAAGTTTCAGGAAAGGCAAGATTTCCTTGTTACCTGAAAGAGATGGTTGATTCCTTCTTTGATTATTCTTAACAGAGTTAAGCATAGTTTCATCCTGTTTATACGTTCACTGAACTAGGACTACAGTAAAACGCAAAAGCGGTGACCAAGGACTAGACCTAGCTCTGAGAGTGTATGTCAGGTGGGTTTTTTTCCACTGGCCTCCTGGGACACTGTGAAAACCGTCTCAGTGAAGTCTGTTGCAGCTGAGTAAACTGAACAGTCATATTGGTACACAGATTTTTTTCAAAGAATCTCACTGGAAGTCTTTGAACCTCTTTCTCTTCACGTCTATCAAGGACCAAATTCCCTGAAAGGAATGACAGTTTTCAGATGCCGAACTTTGAAATCTCTGGGATTAAACTGTGTAAACACTGGAAGCAAAGGATTTTTTCTTGTTGTCAAAAGGAAATACCCCCAAAATTAAACATGCAATGGACAGATATTTTATCATAAAGAGTAAATAGAATTATACTGACCATTATTGTTTCATCGTTTCTCATGTTCATCTTCATCTCACTCTCTGTCTATCTGTTGTCTACCTTATACACAGACAGCAAGCTCTCTAGGACAGGACACAGTAGCATCCTGGTTTGTGACTGGGCATGCAAGGCAAACAGCAAATAATAAACATTGCCTCCTTATTCACTCTTCACATTTAAAAATGATTGTTCTTCTGCAAAATGTCTACCCTGTAAAAATACTTATGGTAAGCACTTGTCTCCATACTTGTTTGTAAAAAGTGTCTTTTGAACAATGACTTAGAAAAGAATTAAATTCCTGAGAATGCCAGTAATCCAACTTACTAAGAGTACTGCTGGGATCATTTTATGGATGGAGTTCAGCAATAATTCTTATAAAAAAGAGTACCTCTCATCTTCTGAATGGCATTAATGATCCTTAATAAAGCAAGTCCGTTTGAGGTTTTTTTACTTCAGCTTCACATCCCTAAATAGCCCCACATGATCTCCCAGCCAGAAATGAAGTTATGGAGGGCCAAGAGCTACCTGAGTAAACTGCTGCCTTGTTTGCAGGTGGGGACTCCTCTTCCACCAAGACTAATGGGAATCCTACCTTTGGTTTTGAAGTACTTTGAACAGGCCCTCACTGAGAAAGGTTAAAGAGAGCATTAAAAAGCAGTTTTCTGGTATTGCTGTCCATGTGTATTCTTCTAGGGGCAGCTAATTGAACTGTGTCTGATTGAGCTTCAAATGAAGAAATAATAGCGCAGAAGACCCTCAGGGCTGGACAGAGCACAGACACGCAAGAAATTTAATTATCTTAGAAAGAGATCTACTGAAGACAAGGTGCAAAAATTAAATCCAGAGAAAAACTTTGGAAACAGTGAAGCAAATTTCATTACTTGAGGGCAAGTACACACTGCTTTCAAAAACCTTTCAGTAGTACTCTTGTTAGATATCACTACTGTCTCATGCTTCCTAAACCACTTTATTCTAGCTGCTTGAGCTACCAAGCAAAACAGTGAAATGTTTCTAATGTGACAATACCCTGAAACTCTGATTCTTCTGAAACCCATTACTATTTCTGGTAACTGGTTTTCAATCAGAACTAGGGAACAAAAAAATCTTTTTATGTTATGGGATGCCCTGCATAAGAATGAACTTTACCAACCTTTTCATTAACAGGAAAGGGTGAGACAGAATGGCCAAGAGGTTGACAAGTCTTACAGTAAGGTAAGTCTTTACTACGGTAATATGCTCAGCATCCAACTGATATCACTTCAATTTAGTAAGAGCACTAGTAGTTCAAAGTAATTCTAAGGAAGCTGTTGGCATTGCATAGTATCAGGTAACCTCCCTTGAGCTATTTTACCTCTAGCATGACATAGTCTGGAAATCAAGCATTGTCTGGGTGTTGTGAAAGCAAGCATCGGAGATACACAGCCCAGTGTAACAGGAAAGCATTGCACCAGCCTAGCCACCAACAGTAAAATGTGCTGCCAGCTGAGCAAGGCACTGGCACGCTGCTAGTCTGTATGTGAATACACCTGAAAAGGGGTGTCAGAGAAGTTTTTATCTCCAAAGCTCAGTATTCCTCACCATAAAGTTACACGATACAAGATAAAATACAAACCAATAATTTCAAAGTGGGGATAAGTCATTTGGTACACAACAGCTGTTTCAAAATACAACCTACAGTCCTTGGGGATGGCAACATGCTGTGTGAGTTGAAGTTACAGCATGTAATATGGGAGATGAAAAGGCTTCTTGACAGGCTTGAGAGGTGGGTCTATGCCTGTTCAACAAGGCCAAATGCAAGGTCCTGC